GGAGCAGGGAGTGCATGGACGGGCGGCTCTGGTCAACTGTTCTCATGCAGAAATGCAGGATTTTAGACTTTTCATGGGAAGCCAGATATTTACAAGAACTCTCGAGCTTGATAAATGTAGACAACTAATTCAATGTTTTTTAAAGAACTGGACTGTGGGTTGAGCCAAACAAAACAGATTTGCTATCAGACCGCAATCTCTGTGTGTTGACCAAATGCTTTTACCTTCCTCCTCCTTTGTCGGCCCAAGACAAGCGGCTCTTACCATGTGCTCCAGCTGTTCCATGACACATTCCACAATCTCAGGCTTGCTCTCCAGCAGTTCTGGGGCAAACTTTTCATTCATCCAGGCCTAAAAGACAAATGCCAGAAAAAGTGAGCATCACCCACCACGGAGCTAAACAACCCTGTGAGTCAGCACGTAACCCACGAAAACCAGGGATGGCGCAGGCAGAGAAAACTGTCTGCCCACCAGCTGGAAACACTGGAGGTGTTTTGAAGACAAACTACGTTTAGTAATTGCTTTCTCGTGTCTTGTTTTACTAGGGAGGCTGTGTTCACAACCTATTCAACTGACACTCATATAAACCCTTGCTTACTTCAGTTAGTATGACGCCTGGTGCTGAGTGATACCACCTGCTGTTCAAACAGCGCCTTTGCCAGGCAGCCCAGGCACACTGCTACTCCACCAGCTCCTTCCCCACGGGGAGCACCACACCACGTTTATTCAGAGAGAAAGCAACACCCCACAATCCACACAGCTCTTCATTCCTAAAGCTCAGAGCACCTCACAAATATTTTTCATTCATCATCATCATGTCTCGGGGAAAGTGGATATAGTTATCCTCATCTTATTGAAAAAATGCAGATTGAGTAATTTACTAACGGCCCCAAAGTATACAGGATCACAATAGAAACAGACGCTCATCTATTATGGAGTTTTGGAGCCAGAGGTTAAAACTCTAATTTATGACTCAGGCCCAGCTGTTTGGTTCATTTTAGAGATTCCCAAGGCTTAGAGAACTGAAATATCTCTAAGTGACTGAGGAAAGCTATACTTATCTTTCAATTACAGGAAATGTAGTTTTAGCATAGCTCAGAATTACATGCGGACCAGGCTCAACTTATTTTTTTCTGACGTCCTTGAGTGTCTGCTTCTCCTTGTGATCACCAACAAGACATATTACTAAATGCCAGGTATCGCTACTGTCATAAGCATTTGTGAAGAGCCTGAGCATGTGTAACAGTCCTTCAGACTAAAACAAAGAGACAAACAAAAAAATCCCTGCATAATGCATGAGAAAACCTCCTATTTTCTGGAGGGCTTATAAGCAGTATTTCTTTTTAATTGACTTTTATTAAATATTGAATTTTTATTTATTTTTGAGACACAATCTAGCTCTTTTGCCCAGGTGCGAAGGCAGAGGCACGATACCAGCTCACTGCAAACTCCGCCTCTCAGGTTCAAACAATTCTCCTGCCTCAGCCTTCTGAGTAGCTGGAATTATAGGCTAATTTTCATATTTTTATTAAAGATGGGGTTTCGCCATGTTGGCCAGGCTAGTCTCGAACTCCTGATCTCAAGTGATCCACCTGCGTCAGCCACCCAAAGTGTTGGGGTTATAGGTGTGAGCCACTGTGCCCGGCCAAACTATAAGAACAACGATATAAACACTTGTGTACGACTTCATTAGAGAATATTATCATTATTTTAAAAGTCCCTGTGTGTCCTTCCTTCCTGAGAGGTAATCATTAGCTTGAATTTCCTGTTTAATTTCCTTTATGGTCTCACTACATTTGTTCTCTATAGAATACCTCCCGACTTGTTCATGGCAGGATGTTAAAAGAAAATGATAACGTTTTTCTGGTACACTGGGGTAGTGCTGGGAACAGCTTCATTCACATTATGAAATTATGGCAATAAAGCATAAAACATTAGGTGGAAGTTTATATTAATATAAAACGTTCACATAAATCTTTCCAAAATTTGTACTGAGAAACTTGCATCTAAATCCATTTTTTTTTTTTTAAATCAGGTTTTATGCTTGATATGGCTACATCAGGTTCCTGATCACACAGTGGCATAATGGCTCACTGCAGCCTTGACCTCCAAGGTTTAAGTGATCCTCCTGCCTCAGCCTCCAGAGTAGCTGGGACTACAGGTGCATACCATAAAGCCTGGCTAATTTTTAAATTTGTTTTATAAAAATGGAGTTTTGCCATGTTGCCCACGCTGGTCTCGAACTCCTGGCCTCAAGACATCCTCCTGCCTCAGCCTCCAAAAGTGCTGATCTACTGTGCCTGGCTTCTGATCAAAATTCTAAATGCCAATCTGTTCATTATT